TGCGGTGCTGTCTGCCTAGTGTACATCTTGTTACTTCGTTTTTCCGGTTTCCAGGATGTTGTGTGTTCAGACGGTCATCTACAGCAGTGGTTTCGTGTTAGCCCTGACTTTATAGACTCTCTGTTGCAAACCTGGTGTTTGTCCGTAGGAGGGGATCCCCTGGCGGCCGAAGTGCTGTCCACGGTGTGCATCGATGACCGGTGGTTTTTTACACGTATATAGATCTTTTAGAGCAACGCGTACCTATACTGTCTCTGCTATGGTGGACGAAGTTTGAACACTTGTTGGAGACGAGTGAGGTCACGGAGACAATAGTTGCAGCTTTACTAGTTTTGTCACACAGTCTGGGTCGCGCTTCAGTGGCAATGTTTCGAAGCATGGATGCAGCACCTTGCATAGCGCCAGTGATCGCTCCTAGCACTCCTGCACGTTCTTCGCGCGCGGCCGATGCTTGCATACCTGCTACTGAATGGCAAATATTTCTGGAATCAGAAAAGAAAGATTTGTGAACGACTAATTCGTTTTCAGTCCGTTCGCACTATCTGCAGGTTTTATTCTTCTCCTGAGACGCACCAGTGGCAACCACAGATCTTGCTGGACACTCCATCTCCGGAATCTGATATGTCCGAAAGCTTGAGTATTCCAAAGGGAGATGAACCTCCACATCACCTTCAAGCAAAACTGGAGTATTGGCGGAAGAACTCCAGAGAGTGGGTGCCTGCGGATGCATCTGCCCAGGCTGGAAAGTGGTGCATCAGCTGGAAAGTGTGCATCAGGCTGGAAAGTGGTGCGTACGTGGACTGTCTGCGCTGGTCTCACTTGAAGCTAGTGAGAATGACCTTGCTAGCGCTCGTCGCTCTGTTGAAACTCTACTTTTCGAAGCCTGTCCCTCCGTCGAACGACGAGTTGGCATCTTCGTTGGGCATGTCGGGACATTCGAACACTTCCTTCAGTCAGGTCACAACCACTTTGTGGAATCATGAAGTGCTTTGCTGGCATGATCGGCAGTCTTCGCGGCGTTTGAGTGGAGTTGTTGAGGCAGACGCGACATCTCTAAGGAAATGGAGGGACGAGCGTGGAAAAAATTAACTACCTCCAAGTTTTGGGATTGACGCAAAGGCCGCCTGACAAGGCCACTTCGAGAGAGGCACGTACAGCAGCTTGGGTGTGGTTTCTGCAAAAGCAGGAGGTAAACCGCCGCCTGAATCCAAGGAACGCACTTTGCGTTGCCATGGAGGACATTGCTCCCAAGGCCAAAGATCGGGCCAAAACAGTTCTGGTGACGGATGGGGCTCCAGCATATGTAGCTTTGGCTAGGCAGTTTGGACTGGCGCACTTGTCATGCGACCACAGCCAGGGAGAGTTTAACGTTGTCAAGAGAAGGGGCCACAGCCGTCACTGGATGTCAACACAGGTTCCATATAGATCCATATAGATGGGTTTTGGGCTCGCGCGAAGATGGCAATTCCCACATCCATGCACACACTGATGTCCAATGGTGAAGTCAACCCCAAAATCTTCAAGAGTGTCCAAAGCTACTGTTGGAGGTCGGAAAACACAAGTAAAGATTGATGCTGTGTACAGGAAACACCGTTTCGAACAACCTTCGATGCTGACGGGAAAATGGTCCAAACGCAACGCTTGGGTAGAGTTGTTCGAATTTGTGATTTGTGTTTCGCTGTAGCGAAATCACAAAATGCCTTCAAAGGTCCCCCCAAAAAAGTGCAAATTTCATGGGTGCGTTTGTGAGAAAATGTATTTTGCTGAAACGCAAATTTTGCTTGAAAACCTTTGCAAATGAGATGCGCAAGACTTGGTTTTTGTTAGTTGAATGTGCCGAATCGCAGGTTTTGAGAGGTTTTTCAACCCACTAGTTGAAGGTTGACGACAAAAAACGCAAAAACACAGGCGCAGTTGTCAGCCCGGCGGGTTTTGGATGTTTTGATGGTGTTTCCGTGATGCTTTGCTGGTGTTTTGGTGATGTTTGGTGGTGTCTCGGTGACGTTTTGATGGTGCTTTGGTCATGTTCTGGTGGTGTCTCGGTGGTGCTTTGCTGGTGTTTTGGTTATGTATGGTGTCTTGGTGACGCTTTGCTAGTTTTTCGGTCAAGTTTTGGTGGTGTCTTGGTGATGCTTTGCTGGCGTTTTGGTTCTGTTTTGGTGGTGTCTCGGTGATGAGGTGCTTTGGTCCTGTTTTGGTGTTTTGGTGGTGTCTCGGTGATGCTTTGCTGTTGTTTTGGTCCTGCATGCCTAGCTGGCGGAGCTTTGCATGGATTATGGTAGACAAGGGGACGGGCAGAGATTGTGGCGGTATTGGCTGCGGTGAGGATTGGTGTTCGTTCTGGCAGACGCACTCGTATTTGGACGGACTGTGCCAATGTGGTGACCAAGGTACAGGCAATCCTGGATGATCCCTCAGTTAGGAGACCCAACGCGTTTGACGCTGACTTGTGGGAACAGGTGTCCATTGAGCTGAGTCGTGAACATGTCATCACCATTCACAAAGTCGCTGCGCATGCTGGCACCGAAGTCGTAGGTCCGGTTGAAGATTGGGCCCGACGACACAATGACCTGGTAGATGCTTCTGCCAAAGGTTTTAACCATGATAGGCCCGGTGAATTCTGGAGTTCGTGGAGTCGACTGCTGGCCCAACTTCAGGCCGCTGAGGCCGTTGGTGACTACATCATTCAGCTCCATTGCACTATTGGAGAGGAGTCCATTCGCTTGAGCAAGACCACAGGTCCCATTCCTGTGGGTGATCACCGTCCGGAGGCCCGCCTCCCATTGGCTCAGTGTGTGAATTTTCCTGCTGATAGAGTCCTGCCGGATGATTTGAAAGGGTTGTTTGGCTCTCTCCAGGCTGGGCGCTTGTGGACATGGATGCGAGTGATTTGTACTGGTCACATTTGGGGCAGCTGGGTATCCATGGCGCAGCTATATGTGGACTACCAATTATCTTTTGGTACAGTGGGCCCCATCTACCATTCTGACACCAGACATTGGAGTGATCCGAATTTGCCTGGGTTAGAACGCCTTCGTGGCCATGAATTTCCGAAGCAGGTCCAATGGTTCGGCCGAGCCGTGCGGATGATATTGCAATACTTTCAGGCTCACAGACTTTTCCATTTGCAATGCCCTGATTCGGTGGTCTTGTCCCACTGGGTCAGTGTTTGCCGGTGGCATGGTCCCCAGTGCGAAGGGATGCAGTGGATAGCTGGCTCCAGAAGCATTTACCTGGAGGAGCAACGCGCCGTAGGGCAGCGGGGTTGGCTTGCTTACCGATGGCAGGGCAGGATCAGCGTCTTGCCGTTCCCATTCCTGAGGATCGTCAGAGATCCATTCGACATAGCTGGCAGTCGACATGACATGCCTCTTCTCAACTGTTTAGGCCGCAAAATGCCGCCTTCTCAGATCGGCGTGAAAGAGTGAAAGAGTGTTGTTTTGGTCCTGTTTTCGGTGGTGTCTCGGTGATGCTTTGCTGTTGGTTTGGTCCTGTTTTGGTGGTGTCTCGGTGATGCTTTGCTGGTGTTTTGGTGCTGTCTCGGTGATGCTTGGCTGGTGTTTTGGTCATGTTTCGGTGGTGTCTGAGTGATGCATTGCTGGTGTTTTGGTCCTGTTTTGGAGGTGTCTTGGTCCTGTTTTGATGGTGTCTCGGTGATGCTTTGCCGGCGTTTTGGTCCTGTTTTGGTGGTGTCTCGGTATGTTTTGGTGGTGTCTCGGTGATGCTTTGCTGGTGTTTTGGTCCTGCTTGGTGTAGCTAAAGAATTTGCGAAGGGAACGTTAGGACCTGTTTGGTGGCAGGGCCACCGCCCCGTTCACTTTGTGAGTTGAATTCCTGATGCATTTTTGCGCGAAAGCACGAACTCGGTCCCAAAAGCTTGTTGCTACGCTGGAATTGTTGCTGGCGATCACGTTTTTCATCGGTCTTCTCTGTGGTTGGTGCTTGCGATTGTGTTTGGGAGTGGCTTCATCTGGTGCACAGGGTGCTTGACTGCTACAGAGTGTGCGCAAGTGTTATGGCGTTGACGGCGCTGCCAACTCCCACCGAATTGCCCACTATTACCACTATCGATGATGCTCGTCAGTGGGCCGGTGTGGCGCCGGCTGTGCGGGCTGCTATGAAAAATCATTTGGGTACAGTGAATTCTTTCCGTGTGGTAGCCTGTGTTCCTGCCAATCTTTGGAAGAAGGACTTGGAAGACGTGCGGATTGCCGTTCCGCGTCCGACAGGTGCTGCAGCAGATGCTCCTCCCCGAGAATGTTCGGGTGTCTTGGTGATGCTTTGCTGGTCCTTGGCCATGTTTTGGTGTGTCTCCGTGATGCTTTGCTGGTGTTTTGGTCATGTTTTGGTGGTGTCTTGGTGATGCTTTGCTTGTG